AGTCAGGCCTGTGAATAGGGTTGTGACGGTAAGGAAATTTCCCCACCGGTTAATCGGCATGTGATGACATCGGTAATACCGGTATCACCGTGGGAGTGGGCGTTTCTTCATTTCCTCTTTTTTTCTGCTTTTAATTAGCTTATAAATGCGTGAGTATAATACTTTCACTTTCAGTTTTGCGAGAGTTGCCAATTCGGCATCAATTGTTTGAAAGGATGAAAAGGAAACTACAAAAAAAAATCCCTGTTATTAAACAAAACATAACTTTTATTAACACAACGAATAAAACACAACAATGTTACAGGCTGAAAAAACTGTGGAAGTTGGAACCATACAAATAACAACCATAAACGCCTATATTATATATTAACAGCTTAGTCCTTATGAACAATCTGTTTATAAAATACATTATTAACGAATCTATAGGCTATTGAAGAATAAACCGAATATGAAATATGATCCTTGCATAATGAGAATATAAAAAAATCTTAAGAGTTGGAACATTACAGTATGTAAAAAATCTAAAGACTACAGGCTAAATAAAAGCGCCTCGTCAGAGCTAAACATCACCGCACACGTGTCAGTTTACAGCCTGTACAGATCACACAATCTCAATAAACAACATGTAAATGTATAAATATTTCGATAAGTATTGTTATGGAAAATTTATAACTATATGATCTTGCTTTTTGGTTATATCGATACAGCTTTGATCTCTCTTACAAGCGGCAGTTACAGGCGCTGCATAAGGGCGTCTCACACTGCCAGTGGCGGAATACACACAGCACTGGCAAGACGTTTTATTTTTATTTTATTTGTTGCAGATTTGCGCGTTGTTCCTTTTAAAAAAATACTTTATTTTTTAAATCTCTCAAGTTAATGCTGTCTATCGAGTAACATCATCTCCCTCGGATTGGAGTTCAGTGCGCAGTAAGACTATGACCAACCGCCCTGTAACTTTAAACACTACAGGTCCACAGCTCTGGTGTGTTATGAATTACATGTTTTAAATGACAGCGAGACATGCTACGTTTAGTTTTTATTGTAAAATATACATTATAACCCAGTACACAGTAAAATAATATGTTTTGAATGGCTTGTCTATTGACGGCGTATATAGCCGTTAATTAAATAGGCTGAGCATATTTTCATTAATACTAATACACATTAATACAAATTAGCCACCCTTTGATTTTTTTTTCGTTTACATATATTTTTATCACACGAAAAATGCAATGAATTGTTAATTTTGGTTTTCATCTTATTAGAATTAATAGGCCTATAGTTTATAGGCAACACAACTCATATCTTTGGCTCCAATTGCGTTTTTACAGATATCCTACCGATAGACTTTTTTTTTTTTTTATAAAGTTACTTTATAGCAATTTTTAATATTGGTTCATCTAAATAAACTTTTCATTTATTAAAAGCCGAAATATTGCCAGACAGAAGAAGCAACTTTCGGTTTTTGAAGAGAGTGGCATCAGTTATAAAAGATCCGCGCACACACAGGATGCGCTCTTGTCGGCCTATTTATTATGGAATTTTTTGACATTAAACACATAATCAAGTGGAAAAAAGAACAGCTGAACTTCGGAAAAAGTGCTCACATTGCCACGATGTTGTTTCTCTGCAGTTGGATTGTCAATGGTGCGGCATTGCTAAATCACTCATTTTAATAAAAAAATAAGATAATTATAATTAAACTTTGTGAGATGATGGTTGCGTGATTTTTTTAAAATGAGAGTATGCGTTGCGTATTTATGGCCATTGATCTATCCGCGACCCACCCATAGTTAAACATGAATGTGCATGTATAAATTAGTTATGTTTAGATACTGCCACCTTTGTCAGGCAAAGTTTGCAGATTGCCTCATTAATGTCTTCAGGTTCTCTTTTGCATTTGGTTTGAACCCAAAATATTGCCAAATAGACACTTTTGCATTGTGTTTGACAATAAACCGTCTGCCAATAGGATTTAGGTCTGGGCTCTGGCTGGGCCACACAAGGACATTCACAGAATTGTTGTAAAGCCACTTCATTGATATTTTGGGGGATGTGCTTTGGGTCATTGGCCTGTTAGAAGATGAACCGTCACCCCAGGGTTTAATTCAGGATGTCTCTGTACATATCTGCCTTCATCCTTTACTCTATCCTGATTTGTCTTCTAGTTCCTGCTGCTAAAAAAAAACTTCCCCACAGCATGATGCTGCCACCACCATGCTTCACTGTAGGGATAGTATTAGCCTGGTGATGAGCGGTGTCTGGTCTTCTTCAAATGTAATGTCTGGCATTCACTCCAAAGAGTTCAATTTTAGTCTCATCAGACCAGAGAGTTTTGTTTCTTATGGTCTGAAAGCCCTTCAGATGCCGTTTGGCAAATTCCAATACTAAGGAGTGGCTTCCGTCTGGCCACTTCACAGGTAGGCTTGCCACGATAGACGGTGTTGACAGTGATACCGGTGTTAAGACGCAACACCGGTGACATCACTTTTCCACCGTGACACCGTCCCCACATTTGTTTTTTTTTAAGTATTCAGTTTTTTTTTTTTTTTTTTACATTTATTTGAAATAAATGGAAAATACAATTATAAATAATTGACTTAAAA